CTAAGGGTGCGCAGCGCGCGAGAACGGACGCGAGACGAGAAGTCGGGAGCGAGCAAGTCGGCGCGGCACGTTAAACGGACTGCTTGCTCTGACGTGAAGTGGCGTAGCGGCCGCGTCAACACGGGCGACGCGGCGGCCGGACGGACACGAACGCGTCGACGGGCCTGTCCCCCGGAGGAAGGGACCGTCGCGCGCGCAACGCGATCAATTTTCGTTGCGGCGCGCGGGCGGCCGCCAACAGACCGTAGGACGGACGCGAGACGAAATGACGGGGCGACCGGGATACCGATAATCGGCCGGATAATGTTGTCGCAGAGCAAGTTCTACGCTCTCTTCATCCACTACACGTTTGTGTAGCGCGACACGGGGCGGGTCCTTGCCGCTGCGGTGAATAGTGAAGGAGAAAGAAGAAGAGGAGGAGGAGGAAGAGGAGGTGGAGGACGACGAGAGGAAGGCAGAAGAAGAAGGAAGAGGAGAAGGGCCGAGCGGCGAGTGAAGGTAGAAACGAGAGAAGTCGTGGAAAGGGGCGGAATAGAAGGAATTATCTCGAGACGAAAGGGCGCCTTGAAGTCAGCGTTAGGTCGCGCCATCGTTGCTCGGGGCTGAAAGAGAGGAAGAAGACGGAGAGAAGGAGAAACGGAGTTTCCGAGTGGAAAAGATAAAAACAGAGAGGTGGCCGTGTAACACGGTGCACGCGCGCGCACGCACGCACGCACGCAGGGAGTGAGATATCGCGCGCGAGATCGGAGAAGCGCCACGTTTCGCCGTCGCGTCGTTCTTCTTCTGCCGTTTGTTGGTGTGAAAGAAAAAAAAAGTGCATCTCAGTGTCGTCGCTCATCGGTGCTCAGTTTGTGCTAACCCCGTATTTTCGAGGCTGAACGAGCAAAGCCCGCGGAGGTATCCCAGAACCCGCCCCCCCCTCCCCCACCCCTCCTCTTCCCACGACGTTGCAGTGCCTCTCTTCTCTCCGTATCGCTACGTCGCGCGCTTCTCTTTTACGTTTACGCAGCGGTGACTATCTACGCTGGAGAGTGTTCGACCTCCTCGACTGTAAGTGTCAAAACTTTTATACACTATGTGCGCTTGAGTGTTTGAAAGTCATCCGAGAAATTGCTTTTTTCGATATTACATTTCGGCCTGATTAATTCTCCTTCACGTAACTCGAGCCAGCGTCAAGGTGGCTCTTTTACCATGTCGCATTGTCCGCCAGCACGAGTTACGTTCAAGTTGTGTAAAAAGAAATACTGCAGTCGTCGAGCGAATCATAGATATCATATTTGTTACGGATAGCGCGGAAAAGTACAATCCATTAGTTTTTCTTTCGAATGCTTTACGTGTTAAAAATTAGGCGACAAAAATATACCAACAAAAGTATGAGTTGTCTGCCTTGACGCGTGGAACTGTTACAGAATAATATCCAAGTTTTTAACGCATGACAGATGGTTCTTGAGCCAATTGATATGGAATTATGAGTGAGATTATCGCTGTAATTTGTATAAAAATCCAGCAAAGCAACAAACGGATCTGAAATTTTCCTTTCGCATGATCGTCGTGGCAATTTTTTTGTTCTACCGCGGTGTGTGATACGAATTTTTATTTAATAGGGATATAAAAAGCTATCTAATCCGATATATATATATATATATATATATATATATATATATATATATATATATATATATATATATATATATATATATATATATATATATATAGTATATATATATATATATATATATATATATATATATATATATATATATATATATATATATATATATATATATATATATCTGATATATAGATATCAGATATTTAATATCGGTTGTGTGCAACGTGATGGACTGTTTGACATTCCATAGAACCGGGGCGTAGTTGCCGTAAATATAGCACAAGCAAGCAAGGTGTATAGAGGCATACGAATACGGGGGCGTTCGTTATAATGATACATTTTAATAAGATAACGGTTGGCATAACGTAACGATATATCCATAATTGCAATTGTAAAGCAATATATTCAACGCAGTGCACAACCATACAAGCTTTTGCAGTCTGAAGTTAGTAAAAATACGCCTATCAGCAGGCTTTGTTTTCAAACAGAATGACATTAATCTAAATTACACTGATAATTTGAGTTATCAGTGCGCGCAACTGTCCATTTTTTTTCTAAATTTTACAATCACTTTATAAATCTTTATCTCAGCTTCGTTGATATATTTGGCTTTAAAGAATTGAGAAATTCTTAAATCTCGAGCTTGCAAAATATCGTAAGTTTGGATTTACTGGAAGTCAGCGAGCTAATTTTCAGAGACCAGAACGCAGGGCGAGTACTCGCGCGATTATTCTCCCTTCGCGAAGAAAATTCACTTTCGTTAAGAAAAACCAGGTTAAATGCAGCAATAAAGAGAGAGAGAGAGTGTCAGATATTAACATTACGTAACGTTATACTGCACAGAGAATTTCTCAGGACAAAAGAAACTTTGAATTGTGCGGGAATTTTACCGCTTGAAGTGAAGCGAGTCAACCGTCAGTCAGACGTTACGTCAGGCCAGCCGTTGATTCGACCGCTTTCAGTAGCGCGTGCTCGCGTCGAGCTCAGACACGGTCGCTCGCGACGCCTCCTCGTGCGACTCGACAGCGGACGGTCGTGTCGCGCGACCCGATACACGTCGCCGTTTACATCGGCGGTAACGAGGTCTCGATTACGAGGCGCGATAGGGCGGCAATCGAATCGCCAAGGTGTGTGCCGCACAGCCCTCGGCATTACCGTGCAAACACGTAACGTGTAGCGTGACGCGCGGCTCCGCCGCGGCTGCCATTCCCGATATATCGATCGACGCTGCCGCGGTCACGGATCGGTCGCGCGCGGCGGCGAACTCGCGCTAGTCGTCCAACGCGAGGATGTTCCACGGTTCACTTTGCGAAGAGATATCGTAATCGGCTCGATTTGCGCCATCCGCCGCTCTCGTGTTATAATCGATAAACGTGCGCCTAAAGTTTTATTTTCTCTCTCGCACCTTTGGCTAGTAAACTGCAGTCCAAAAGAAAAGTATCGAGACTAAAGCACCGTGACATAAGAAGTCTGTTCTGTTTATAGATGCAGTTTTTTTTTATAGTTCGTGGACTTAAAACGAAGCGAGTATATACGGGATTGTGTAAGCAGGATTGATTTGATCTTGTTTCTGCGAATTGAAGCTTTCTATAGTTTCGCACATTCTAATATGAAATATAAAGTATTTCGTTAATTTTTACCCTTTCAATAATCTTATCATGACTTTAGCGTGACATTAAGAATCAAGAGAACAATCGATTAATGATCTTTTTTCTAACCTTTATCTAAAAAAATCTTGTAAAAATTTATGCATCTGTCCTTTATCGATTGTTCTGTTAATTTTACATATAAAAGTATTGAGGTAAAATTATTGAAAAGGAAAGAGATATTTCATATTTTATACCAGAATATGCGAGAAGCTTCAAAAGATTACGACTCGGCGATAAAGCGAAATCGAATATACGTTTATACGACTTATTGTGTTACTTTTAAGTGCTGAATTTATTCCTGAAATGTTTTGCGTATATTAAATTTCAGCTTGTATACGAACTTTAGAGAGAGAGAGAGAAGAGAAGGAAAAAATATTATAGCGTGTCGTTAAAAGTTTTCAATATTTTCTTCTTCTCCAGACCTCCTGTTATCAGTTGTAAATATTTTTAAATAAATAAGTACGTTTAATATTACGCTTAGGAAATACACTCGCAATCAGAACTTGCAATATTCAGCAGAAACATCGTACTTGTACTGTGAACTTGGATGCTTCAAGGCTACCGCCTGTCTGGTAGACCAGTAAATCCTGAGCACTATTGTGACTCCGGCGAATAATAATACAAACTCTTATCTGGCCGACGACTTCTTACATTAGATATCGAATCCTGGATGGCTGTATAGGATTCCTCGTGGACTTTATACCAGAATCTCTTAAACTGCCATCACAATTGAAATCTGTTTAATAACTTTTAATCCAAGTGACTTTGTGTGAGTCAACGCAAACGGTTGAAAATAATATAAATATTTTACATCTTTATTCAAATGAGATTTATATTGGTATTATATTTTACATTGGCGAATTAATAATCTCTCTCTCTCTCTCTCTCTCTCTCTGTTATATAATTATTAATATTATTAAATTCGTTAATTATTGCTGATTATTTTAGCATTATTAATTATAAAAATTATACGAATGCACGGTCAAAATTTCCGCCACAAGTCTCGCGAATACAAATCTCTCGCGAAACGTTGAAAATCGAAATAAAGAAGTACAATTAGCATTCGCTATCAAGGACGGCAAAGCGTACTATTGATTTCATTGCCGTAATCGATTATGCCGTGATTACGACAATGATTGTGACATGTCTGTTAGCCGGTGACCTTCCTCCGCGCGAAAATTGCCGGTCAATACGAGCTGCACGATCCGCTTAAGAGCCGCGCGATCGATCACCGTGTCGTGCACGACGACGCGCCTCGCAAGACTTTCTTCCGTGAGGAAGCGTGCGCGACTCGCAGCCGTGTAACGTAATATATTGTAACGAGGAATCATTTATTCTTGAGCAACGGTGTAACAGTGGACCCCGCAGTTGCCCATCGCTTTCGTCTCCCATGTCGCTCGTGTCGCGTGAGTGACACGGTTTTCATTATCTCACACGGTCATGTTCATTTCTCGCTACACGAAAATACGAGAAGACCGCATGTGCTAACCTGCCAATGCGGTCGTGCCGACTCGCACACCGACAGCACGAACAAATTATATTCGCTGCTTTGTGAAGAAAAAGAATCAGTTACAAGGGGAATGAATTCTTTCCGTTGCAAATATTATTTCTCCATCGATTTTCTGTCTAAGAAAAAAAGTCTATCGCAATTATTGAGAAAGCGCGTCCCTCCGAAGTGGAACGAGATTTGATCGAAAGAGATTCGACTTGTAATCGTTTAGCGACGGCCATCTCGCGGCACACTTGAACTTACTGCGGCTCGATTCGCTGCGTAATCGTGCGTGAACAGACGTAACTTACGTCATCGTCCATTGAAGGCGACGCAGAGGCGTACGCGCGCGCGTCACCCTCTCGGCTCGCTTTGTGCAGCGGCACGGGTATTCCTATTGACGTAACCCCCTCGCGCGAGAAACCGGGGCTCTGGATGCCACAATTCCGCGCATACTCGCGCGCTCCGCTCGCATTCCGCGTGTACGAATGTCGCCGCCGATGCGCGGCGCGAGGATAATCGGTATGCGCCGGATAATTTGTTGAAATCTCTTTTTAAAGTTCGATAAATCGTCCCTCGGCATAAATAAACGATCGATGGGACGTAATGTCAAGGGTCGCGTCATACGCTCTCGCGCGATCCGTCGATCCATGCTAAAACGAGAGTCGGTTCCGCTTTAAGCTGCACGCTCCGAGAAGAAGGAGAGAGTATAATGAGATAACGCACGAGATATAACTGCTCTGAGCGCTGTCAAACGCACATAGGAGGCATTCGATAAGGAGTTTGCGTTCTCCGCAATATAGAACTGTTCATTCATATTTCATCAGCTGATATTATCTCCACTTTTCTATTTTTATTTATTAATACTTTGTTTTCGAAGTAACGGAACGTTGGTTTTCATATAATTATTTGACATCTTGCTGTGTGTGTGTGTGTGTGTGTTTTCGTTAACCATTTTTTAACAAATAGAATGCATATAAATATAATACTTAGTTTTAATTAGATATATTTAAAGTGGTTCCAACGATATAATCGCTGCCAGAAATATGGAAAGCAAATATTGTAAAAAAATAGCAGCAGACAAAACAGATTAGTTTTATTTAACTTGACTATACTTTCCGCAAATGACGATATACGTTTACGATATACTACTATTACATTGATAATTGGAGATTATTCAATGTAAAATAGCTTGCAAAAAATTTTGTAAATTTATTTTACGAAATTGAAAATTGGCTTCTATATTTTTAAAATTTTGCGAGAAAAATCGTTATGCGCTGTTGCTACTTTTTGCCGCGTC